GATGAAAGTAATCACAAAATTAATACTCATGTTATAAAAAAAATGTATAACACATAACATTCTATTTTTATTTAAGTTAAACTTCTGTATATTACACAACAAAAATAATCACGATTAAAATTTTATATTCTATTTTTCAACAATGATAGAAACCATTAACAACTATAAATAATCAATTTTAATTTTTAGTTTATAACATGTTTGATAATTTTTTAAAAATAATTAAAAAATCCAAAAAACATGATTTACACATTTATAAACTCTTACATAATTTGAAATGTGATTTTCTTACTACTCCAATTTCTTAAATTTATAAAAGATTCCAATTTGTTTCTATTTTTATTTTTATATGTTATTAAATTTTCTTTCATGCGCAATTATAAAACACATTGTCTTTACTTTTTTTCCTGATGTACTTATAATTCATTTCTTTTCTCTTTTTATTGGTTGACATAAGTCCATTTCTTTGTCCTACATAAATGTAGATGCACAACTTTAAGATATGTTTATATGCATAGCACCTATATTAAGCAAGATTTATAAACGAATCTTAAGCTATTGGATAAATATAATGGTTGAGATTTAAAGAACTATTTTAATCCTTACTTAATGTGACACCCTAATACATATATTACTATTGGTGGCATACATCGTACCTTGGTTATAATCTAGGACATACCCTGAGTAGGAAAACACTATTAAACCCCGAATTAATTGGATTTTTGGGCATGATATCATACTCTAACGGTCTAACCCTTGATGAGTAAACCCTAGGTCTTAAATACCCAATTCATATAGCCTAATCCCTAAGATGAATCATGACCATCGGTTTTTGTTTGTAATTAAATTGATCTTATGAGATGATTTATAGAATCAAGACATAGAATTTAATCTTTCACGGTTTTGGAATAGTACCTGATGCCGAACTCTGATCAATTCAAGGTCTACATATCATTTTCTTACTACTCAAGGTATGTCATACCTTTGATTTTACCCAAGGTACGATAGAACCACCCATTACTATTACTATTTTTAGTAACCAGTTATACTCGCCGGATAACCCCACTCATAAGATATACCCGATATGTTGTATCTCAATCAGTCAAATAAACATCCATTCATCACCACATGTCATACACATGCATCATCTCAAACTCAATGAATTCATATATTCACAACATAAGGACCATCAAACAGTCTCTTGATAACTCATTGTATAAATATGTATTCACCAAGTATAGCATCATACTGGCATCACCATGTAACCCTGTCCCAACATAGCAAAACATCACACCATCTAATGGTAAATCATTGTATAAAACACCATAAAAAACCATCACATAACCATCAGCATCGACATGCACATTTCGTATATCACATCATAGAAAGTTATCACTTAACCGCATCATAGTAATCTTTATACAAGGATTCAATCATATGTATGGTTAGGTTGATTCAGTGCCCATTTACTTCTTAATTTTCCAAGTCATACACTCCTCGGATAGTACAGTAGATGTCCTGTATACCACATTGGATCGTACCTATATTGGTGTACTGTAAATTCACTGCGGGATCATACCTTGACCGATATCCTATATAAAAGCACGAGACATACCCGGATCGATGTCCTGTAAAACCAACGCGGGATCATACCTTCACCGATGTCCTGTAAATTCATCTATTGTACTGATTGCACAACAGAGCACCTTTATATTTGTATTAAGTTATCAAACAATCCCCGTTACGGTCAGTCACACATTTAATATTGGATGATAATGTGAAGCGAAGCCAAAGTGTCTCTATAACTAACATTTTGTTTTGATATCATTCATAAAATGTTGAAGGTAATATAGAAGCATAGCATCATAGTTACGTTGTACTTTAATATAATAGTAGAAAAAGCTAGCGAACACTCGAGGTGTAATATACACCTTGATTCACATCTATTAGTTGTACTTTAATATATTTTGTCAAATAAGAATCGGTGGTTATTATATTTGCATTAATGAATCGTAAGATTTGAATTAGAGAATTAGAGACTGAAGTTCACCCATTAGAGACTAAGGTATAGTATCATGTCCAAACTCCGTTAATATATACATGGTCTAAATAGCTAAACTCGATAAGAGTACAGTAAGGTGGCGTATGCTAGCTTAAACCATGTACAACTTATGAAGTTGAAAATGATTGGTGAATCAAAGATCGGATGGTCATGAATACTATTTTCCAGGCGGAGATGAAGTTACAACGTTGTTTGACATTATTGTTGATCATGATTAAAATCTGGATCATATTAGATGAAACACGAATAAAAGATGACAATAATAAATAAATATGAAAAGTAGGAATCTTATACCATTGGAAGAAATTACAGATAATAGAAGAAAAAGTACACACATAGGAAATTCGCCGCCCATCGGGCGGGGACAAAACTAGTATATATGAAGAAAAACTATAACTAGCACTTGGTCAATGCATATGTATATGATCGATTGCAAGAATTGAACTCTCACTATTATCAATAATGTGGTTTAATTTTGCATCTTTCGGTTGATCTCGCCAACACTCATCATTTTCACAATAATCTTTAAGTTTGTTTTTTAAAAGGTGCCTCCAAATGTGTTGATTCAACACGTAAATGAGTGATCATCATACCGACGGTCATAGTACACCATATGAAGAAAATATCCAATTAGAGATTTTGAGATTTGGGTACAACTATGATCCTAAATACAAGAATTAATAATTATATCTATAAATTATTATTATAAAATAAATTTTGCCTAATTTTAGGGTTTACCGTTCCCCTTAACGTCAACCACATCGCCGACCTATTATAATTAATAAAAGAATAAAATTCAAACTATGTGGGTGATGTGGCAATCAATCTCACTGATGATGTGGATGATTTCGTCCTGGGAGTCTTGAGAATTTGTTTTCATTAGTCACGACGGCTCGATCGCAATTGCTTCTTCTTGTTCATAATTGCGGTCGCTACTTGGTTATTACTGTTACAAACGAGGCATATATTTAGCAACATACTCGACCAATTCATGTTGACATGAGTTATATAATCTCTGATGAACCTACAAAATTTCATGAGTTATATAATCTCTGATCAACCAACAAAATCTCATAGACAACTCAAATCTCACATCAGGGTCCAACGATATCGACATGTCCCAAAAGCAACTCATTCAACATAGTAGCAAATTATTCATCACAGGCTCCTAAGATAGTAAGAATTTTTTACTAGTTCGATGCGTATCGTAATGTTATATCCCCTCGTTAATTGATTTCAACTTTAATAGAAAATGAGAGGTTTGCATGAATATAGACACCGATGTCCTCGTTCTTGCATCACCTAAATCACTAAACTAAGCGAATTCAGACCAGAGAAGCATACCATGACACTTTTTTATGGAATGAAAACAACTTATTCGTCGTCCTAAACATCGTTAAGCCAAAAACGCAGTTGAAAACAAGAAATTGGATTAAGGGCGTTTTACTCTTCTAACATACATGCAAGTTCCAGCAAGGTGAAGAAGAATATAACAAACAATCCATCTATACTTGTTGGGCCACACAGGGACACATACCAAACCAGCGGCCCAATAAGATAGAAGCCCGACCCAATAGGCAAAGACCCATATCAATCACACCGGAAGCGGTAGACGCTACGGAGATCGTGGGTGGTAAAGGTGTACGGAGGATGGGACGGTTGTCAGTACCAACCCGGCCAGACTGACAGTTGCATTAAATGCCGCCGAAGGCGTAATCATGGGAGCTAACGTTTAATACACGCCAAACAGGGCACTAAGGGCTCACACAAGCCACAGTCACATATAAATAGGAGTCAACCACCTCATTTAATGGTAATCAACCTACTCTCTCTCTCTCTCTTTACTTTCTCTCTCTAAACACTGACTTAATCTTCGGAGAGTGTCCACAGGGCTCCCGCCCCGGACCTTTTCTGCAGGTCAGCCTCCCCCGCTCAAGGAAGTGCTCGATATCCTCGAAGTCCTTACTAAATCCCGCCTGGCACATTCTAGGCGTAAACAATACTACTTCCATGTCATAAAATTAGATTAACATAGTCACAGTCCACAGTGTGTTGATAAGTTTGAAACTAGCCATGCCTTCCATTATTGAACGTGCAGTAGGTACTAACCACGCCAGCCTACTAAATACACACCAGGCGCCTAGTAGACGATCATTCATTCCATCGCGCTCCTAGGCACTCGAACAACGCGCCAACTTACCCAACAAACCCCAGGCGTCGCAATCATCTCACGAACCTTACCCTTTACTACGCTTTTGGGCTTCTTCTCACAATGTGGGCTCCGCTCCTTATAGGGCTTCTTAGGTCTAAACACCGCCAACATGGGCCTCGTTCCTCGTAAGGCTTCTTGGATCTAAACACCCCCAACAGAACTTTTTACTGAACACATCTTATCTTCAAACATGGGTTGACAGGTGATACCGATAGTTGGATGATGCTAACACATGTTGCCTACTCAAAAATAAAATAACATGGATGCAAGGAATGCCTTATAAATCTAATACAAAAAAAAAAAAAAAAGATTAACTAGGTTGATGTAATATGGAAATAATGATCACTAACAAGGGTTGAACACTCATTATCCACGATAACATGGTTCAATTTCACATTCTTCTGTTGATATGACCAACACTTATCATTTACACAACCATCTTTCAATTTCTTATCCTTAAGCTGCCGGTCAAATGCGTTGATTCGACAAAAGTGATCATCACAGTTGACTTATCCAGAAAAGATTAAATTACACTTGCACACATATCGGAGAGGTTGAGCCATGGGCTTACAGAAAAATAATTGGCTTCTAGATACTGGAGTATGTATGAACATTATCTTATGGTGACAAGCTCGGTCTGGAAAAGACGTCATCATCTACAAATGTTGTATCGTTGGAAGAAAAATGTGTGTTCAACTTGATCCAAATAGAAACGAGGTCGAATAAATGAACATTGATAAAGTAGAGAAGCATGGAATCACTACAAAATTATCGTAGGTACATTTAAATAATTTACTCACAGTCACACTAGCTAGGTCAATGTAAAACAAATATAATTCCGTGCAAGAGCTGAATCCGCATCAATGGTGTCACTCATTATATTCACATCCTTCAGTCCATCTTGCCAATGCTGAACATCTCCACCACAACTTGAACTTTCAAGGTTCTTGTTTGCAACCTGCTTCCAAATACGCTGTTGAATACATGCCAGGACAAAAACACAAGTAATTAGTGAATGCCAAAGACCAACATGAAGTTATATACATATACAAAGGGTGATCAGTTTGGGACGAACCTGAAATTTGGTCAAGGATCTTTGTGAGTCCCGAGGATCAGACTGTTCGGCTATAGATATTCTGTTGGGATGACAAGTCCAAAGAAGAGCTTCAAGGAAAATGATAGCTTTTGCATGTCTCATGTTGGACAGCCGAGACGAGAAAGAGCTTCCGAATTGTAAGTTTTGCACCTCCGGTATAGGAGAGGATACACATTTGACTTCACTCAAAGAGAAAGATACCTTCAATTTTGTTTATAAAAAAAAAAAAAAAAAGAATAATGTTTTGATGTGCAGATAGCACAATATATTTTGTAACGATGATTGATTGGGAAGTTCGTGTGCATGTATGTCTACAAACATATACTAACATACCTCTGGATTGTAGTAGTATGATGGGAAGTGCAGCTTTAAAACCGGTTTGTGGCGGAATGAACGGGTCAGTGCGGCAAGAAACCGCCTCAACTCAACAAACCATCCCGTAGTCAACTTGTTTTCACGGCTGATATGCCAGTCAATTACACATTTGCAGTCGGAAGCCACTTTGACAGCCTCAACGTTGATGGCAGAGTCGGTGGCGATGCAGAGACTAACCAGATTAGGAGCATCGATCTCCAATGGCCTCTCCGTTTTCGAAAAGCTCAGTCTTAATGTCCGGAGCTTGGAAGCCGAGCTCGGGCTGTCAATCCTCAGCCACGGCAGCGGCTTCCTTTCATCTGGGTTTTTGACATTTTGAAAGTCGAGAGACTCCAGAGATGGGGACTTGGAAATCAAGTCCTCGAGATCGCCGAGCCATTTCGATCCCATCCAGGGGTCGTTTCTAATGTGGATGAATTTGAGATTCGGGATCGAAAATTTCGACGCCACGTTCAGCTTGCAATCCAATGTGCTCTCGAAGCGAAGTGTATGCAGCAGAGGAGCTGAAGTAAGCTGGAGTTGCAGAACAGAGCCATAATTTCCGCCGATGAAAATGGTCTTCAGGTTAGGGTGAGAGAGGTCCAGGCTCTCAACCCCTTGAATCCAGCTCAAACTCAGCTTCTCGAGATTAGGCGCATTCCCCAGGAAGCTCTGCAACATCTGCTCGCTAATCCAAGTGCATTTGAGACAGAGATCCTCCAGACAAATATTGTTACTACTCCAATTGCTGCGATATTGGCTCCTCAGGTCACAACCACTCAGGCTCAGAGATCTGGTGCGGCGGCAGTTCAAAAATGTTCCATCGGGAAAACTATAAGGTGAGGAAAAGGGAATGACATAAGTACCAGGAATCGTATGAACCACAATCTCGAGCGGCGATCTGCTGCCGTCGTCGTCGGCGGCGGGCAACAGCGACGCGGGAGCCAGCAACTTGTCCAGCAGCTCCTCGTTTTGACGCGGGTACTGTAACGAAATCCTGAAGGCGTCCAGAGCGATTGGTGCTGCTGCTGCTGCTGTTTTCCCATGGTTATGAGGCTGCAGCAGCCTCCTGGAAGCGGCAGCGGCGAATCTTTCGAACCTAATTCTAATTTCATCAAAATCCCAATTGAAATCCTGATCCCGGAACTCGACGACAGGGTAAGAGTGCCAGAGTTGGAGCCATCTCCTTGACAAAAGGCTCGTTTTTGCCGCTTCGCTCGGGGGCTTTACGCGATGAAGGATGTTGTGGATGATTTCCTCCGGGAGTTCTGAGATTCGGTCTTCCGCAATGCCGCCGGCCGCGGTGGCGGCGGCGGCCTTTCGTGATCGCGGCTTCTGGCTCATAGGTCTCCCTAACAGCGGCGGCTAACCGAGTTAATTTGTGTTGCTTAGATTTTCTGTTTAAAACTTTAGAAGTTTAAACCCTACAGCTAAAGTCCTTTATATACAAGACCAGTTATAAGTTCATAGCTCCTTCCATTCCAGTTAATTTTAAGGGTTAATATTTTCGCATGGCCTGAACTTTGGCCAAAATAAACATCCTGGCCAATCTTTTTGATCTATAACATCCTGACCCGAACTATGCACCAAAATAAACAATTTGGCCAGATCCGACTTTTGACCGTTAACTTGGACGGTCAAACGCGTTGACCGTTAGTCAACGTGCCATGTCACTGCCAAGTCAGCATAAAATATTTAAAATAATTCACAATTTCCACACATTACCTAATTTTAAATTATTATAAAATAAAAAATCATCTAATACCTTAGTTAAACCAAAAATAAAAAACAAAAAAAATTAAATATTTATCAGATCTTCTGACTTGGCAGTGACGTGGCACGTTGACCGTCCAAGTTAACGGTCAAACATCGGGTTTGGCCAAATTGTTTATTTTGGTGTATAGTTCGGGCCAGGATGTTATAGATCGAAAAGATTGGTCAGGATGTTTATTTTGGTCAAAGTTCAGGCCATACGAAAATATTAACCCTAATTTTAACTATATATATTTTACTACATTATTAATAAATATACAATGCATATAATAAGTATACACGACATATATATTCAGAAAAACTGTAGCACTCGGCCAATGTATACATCCAACAGTTCATGTCGTAATGAGTTATATAATCTCTAATCAACCTACAAAATCATATGGAGATCTCAAATCTCACATTACGACATTGACATGTCCTAAATGCAACTCATCCAACATAGTAGCAAATTATTCATAACCGGCTCCTAAAATTGTAAGAATTCGATGCTTATCGTAATGTCATCCCCTCGTTCGATGATTTCAACTATAACACAAAATGAGAGGTTTGCATGAATATAGACACCGATGACCTCGTTCTTGCACCTAAAACACCGAGCTAAGCGAATTCAGACCAGGTAAGCATACCAACTTATTCTTCGTCCTAAACATGGTTAAGCCAAAAACGCAGTTGAAAACAAGAAATTGGATTAAGGAAGTTTTATTCTTCTAACATGCATGCAAGTTCCAGCAAGGAGAAGAAGAATATGACAGACAATCCATCTATACTTCCAACTCATATAATTAGATTAACATAGTCACAGTCCACAGTGTGTTGATCAGTTTGGAACTAGCCATGCCTTCCATTATTGAACGTGCAGTAGGTACTAACCATGTCTTGTGAAGCAAGTTAAATCGACAACGCTGCATATCCAATCTGGGGCTGCAAGATGCGCCATAGCTAAGCTTCCATTGCAATCTGTCAAATTAATTCTTCTTTCTCACGGTAAAATATCATCCTTCCAATCGAGGAAACGCCAATGTGACATCCTGAATAGCCACAAGCTCAGCCCGGCCTCCGTACTCTTCTGGCAATGTCTCTTCCCCGACTTCCCTCACAAGTACTTCCATCTCTTTGTCATTGGTAACTATCATTATCTGCAGTAATCATCCATTCGTTCAGCAGATATCCTCAGAAACACATAGGATCTTGGAACAGCTGTGTCATGGTAACTAGTTGCAGAGTATGGTTATGGTATTGGTAACGGTGTTAGCTTCACAATAGGATTCATGAAAATCTGAACTCCTCAAATTACCTTCTCTAATGTAGCCTTCTCGAGGCATCGCGACACTATCCTCCATACGCTTGCAAAGAATCGCGGCATGTTTAAGATGTACAGCTTGTGCAAGCGCTCTGGGTAGTAAGCCTGCGCAAAAACATATCAAGGCATTAAATAAAAAGTTCTCACATGCCTCTCTGAGCCTAAGGGACTGGCGCATGTAGGCATTTTGGTTTAGGCTAATGAGATAGGCTGCTAGAACCTTACCTGCAAAAACTGGAAGCCAGTGATAAACCCACGAGCGTCCACATTTTTATATCCAATTTGCTGCAAGTCCAAGATGATCATCAACTTCTCGTTTCCGACTTCTCTTCCCTTGATTGTGCTGAAGAAAGGATGATAGAGAGTTCGTTACAAAATGCTCGAAACTTTGTTTACCCGTCTTAAGCAATAGTGTTAAACAGAAAGAGGAGCAGCCAACACACTGCAACATGAGATGGAAAGATCATTCAGAAGTGAACATTCTAAGTTTCTAACAGTAAGCTGTAGAGCACCATAGCAGTCCTAATTATCTACTCATACAGGAATGTGATTTCGGGTCATCCAACGTCTAAATTAAGTAAGAAGTACCTGGCTATAGTTTTGTCCAGCAGATGAACAACGAACTCTGCATCAAACGAGGATGATATAATCAGGTAACCGATCATTTGAAGTCGAACTAGAACCTGGGATAGTGATCTATTTCAGCAAATGCAGTTCAATAGTTTCCTTTAGGAAGAAGGTAAGATCCTTTTATTTTCACGGCACCCTATGTTTGAAAACCAACCTCCCATAGTTTTTAATAACCAAACTCAACTACCTACTGTCAGACAACAATGCTGAGGGTAGCTTTGCTAATGTTTAAGCCAAGTGAAAAGACTTTTGAGACTGTTTCAGATATCATGATGGTTGTCCAGACTCCAGACCACCACTTCTAATACAAAGAACTGAAACCAATATGAAGCAATGCCAAAAGAGTACTGCAGAGCTGTCAAGCATGAACATGAAGAACATTCATCAGAGCTAGTCTCACAAGCCAAACTGATTTCCTCAGGTACCATAGTTGACCACACACAAAGGTTGTCAGGACAAACAAAGCAGACGAAATCTGAGGGAATCTTCTCATTTAACTCAGATCTGAAACCCGAGTAACCCGCCCGTTTAACCCGACCTCCAACCCTAGTTGACTAAAAGTCAATGACCCATAACCCGCCCGACCCGTAACCCGATTGGCCTGCAACCCAATCAACCCGCAACCCGACTAACCCGAACTCGACCGATTGACCCGAATAATTACAATAATATATAATATATATAGGGGTTGTTTGGATGGGTTAATTTTCAATTTGGTATTTGTAAGGTCAAATAACTCACTTTTTGTACATGTGGTATTTGTATGTTATTTGGAGGAAATGGGAGTTAAATTATCTTGTTTGGATGAAAAAAATCAATTAGTTATTTTCATAAGGTATTTGGTAACATAAAAAAGCAAATACCATTAACAATCTATTACTCTCCTTCCTTTCCTTTCCCTCTACATTCACAAAATCATTCAACGGCAATGGAATTCATCCTTTCCGACAATGGTAACATCATTTGGAAAAGAATAGGTAAATCTAAAATTAATGGAGCCATACTTTGATCAAATATAAAAGCACAAGTAAAAAAAGAGCAAGGCAACCAGACAGGAATGCGAGCATCTAAAGAATATATTAACACTCTATGAGGAAGAGTCGGGTCAGCAGGTAAACCTGGTAAAATCAGAACTATCCTTCAGCCCTAATGTAAAGATGGAGGAAAGGAATGACTTGGCTGGGAGGCTAGGGATGAAAAGTGTGCTGTACCATGAGAAATACCTAGGGCTGCCTACGAGAGTGGGAAGAGGTAAGAAGGTTGTGTTTGGCTATTTGGTTGATAGAGTGCGGAGCAAGGTGAAGGTGTGGAAGAGTAAGCTATTATCTATAGCTGGCAAGGAGGTACTAATCAAATCAGTGGCCCAGTCTCAGATGACATATGCAATGTCCATTTTCCTAATACCAGTGGGGGTTCTAAAGGAAATACAGAGCCTTATCACCAATTTTTGGTGGGGGCAACAACAGGAGGAGAAAAGGACCCACTGGTTGAGATGGGAAGAAGTGAGCAGACCAAAGAAACAAGGTGGGTTGGGGTTTCGAGATCTACAGAGCTTCAATGTGGCACTTTTAGGGAAACAAGTCTGGAGGCTCATGAAGGAGCCAGAATCACTTGCAGCTAAGGTAATGAAAGCGAAGTACTATCCCACAAAAGATATATTAGAGGCTGAGAAAGGCGGATGCTCGAGTTGGGTCTGGAAGGGTCTAATGGGAGCCAAAGAACTGATCAGGAAGGGATTTCGCTGGAGAGTGGGGAATGGAAGCAAAATAGACATATGGCAAGATCGATGGATCCCTACCAGTGATGATTTTAGGGTGCAATCCCCAATTTCAATGATAGGGCAAACTACATTAGTGGGGGAATTAATGGATTTGGAATCCAGGAGCTGGAAACAGAACTTACTGCAGACATTTTTTGGACCAGAAGATAGGAAAAGAATTCAAAAGATTCCGATTCCTAGACAGCCATGTGACGATGAAAGGGTGTGGAGTTTCGATGCTAAAGGTGAATACACAGTGAAGTCAGGCTATAGGCTTTGGAAGAACAGGGAGGAGGAAGAGTTGGGGGAACTTTATACCCCAGTCAATTGGGATCGATTCTGGAAATTAAACATACCCCCTAAGGTAAAGCTCTTTGCGTGGATGTGGGTGCGAGATATTCTACCAACTGGGAGGCGAATTCTATAGAGAACCAAACAAGGAATGGGAGGTTGCCCTTTTTGCGATTTACCAGAAACCCAAAAGCATATATTCCAGGATTGTGCCTGGGTTAGAAGGGTTACGAGGCCTACAAACATGCATCTATTGTTTGAGAAGGGAGAAGAGCTCACCTGCGAAGAATGGTTTTGCAATTTACAGGAAACAGAAGAGGACGCTCAAATCGGTAAATTTCTTGTCTCCCTCTGGTTTATCTGGGAACAGCGGAATAGCCAGTTATGGAACAAAAGAAAATTGGAAGAATGGGAGATCATTCCCAAAGCAATGGCCTGGTTAGATGAATACCTGGAATTTCAAGCAGAGAAGACGGCGGAGGAGAGGGGAAATGATGCATGGCAGTTATCTCAAGCGACGGAATTTTCCATTTTGGTGGACGTGGGATGCTTGCCGGATCAGGGAACAGGGATGGGGGTGATAATTCGTCGAAAGGATGGCTGGTTCGTGGCGGCGGCGGTTCGAAGAATGCCTCAGTAGTCTGGCAGTGCTTTTTGGAATGGAAATGGCGATTCGATTTCAGCTGAGATCGGTCTCGATCCGATCTGATTGTCAACAGGTGATTCGGCTGATTGAAGGAGGCACGACGACGTCGTTGGAGATAGGCCAAATCGTGAATGACATCAAGGAAATGGGCCAAGGATTTGAGAAAATTGAATGGGCCTACGTGAAGAGAGCCCATAATAGGTCTGCACATAAAATGGCCCATGTGGTCTGTAATTGGGAGGAAGATGAGTGTTGGGTGGATAGACCACCAATTTTTCTGGTCTCTCTTATTAGAGAGGAGTCATTAAGCTTAAACATTTCTCATTAATATAATAGCAGGAGTTATCTTTCAAAAAAAAAAAAAAAAGAGCAAGGCAACTCTTCTTGTAACATTACAACATCAAACATCACTATTTTCCAATTCTTCAACAATTCCATCTTCTCCGAGTGCTCTACGGTGACAAGAGAATTTGTCATTACAGGTTACGATTTCTTCACCTGAAATCTGTTATGACAAACATTGTGACAAAAAAATATTTGTTACTAGAACCTCGTTGTAATAGAGGTATTGTGACAAACGTAAGTACAGTTTGTCACAATAACTGAGTTGTTCCAGTGACAAATATTCGGCGTCACAATGAATATTTTAAGTGACAAATGTGTTGCAACATGAGCACTCACAGAATATGCGATTTTGGAGCTACTATTGTGACAAAATAGTATATTGTGGCATAAAATCTTGTCACTTGATTTGTCATATTATATATATATATATATTTTTTACAAAAGATAATCATATATTGATAGAATCAACTCGATAATTACATCCTGGAATTCAGCCATGCCTGAAAGTCAAAATAACGACATGTAGACGGGAACAAAGACATGGCCTGTCTAGCTACACTATGAGCTACCCTATTGCTACCCCGACCTACAAATCGTACAATGAAACCCGGATAAATCCTAAAAACCTGCAGAATCTCCTCCAAAATAGCCCCAATCCGACCATCACGCGCATCAGCCTGACAAAGCTTCTCAATGACCACCTTGGCATCGCCTTCAAACCTCATTGACACAAAACCCTGCGTTATACACCAGCGGATTGCTTCGCGAAGGGTAAGTACTTCCGCCACCATTGGGTCATCCAGCAGAGGGAACTGAACACCAGCCGCCCAAAGGGTCTCCCCACCCTCACTAAGGAGCACAAAGCCTCCTGCAGAGTGAGACCTTGAACGGACTGCTCCATCCCACCGACACACAGGCCCCCCTGCCCCACCTAAGCCCACTGTACTAGTGCTAGGAGGAGACAGAGGGGACGCCAGGGATCCTTAGGTAAGCTCAGCCATTCCCCTAACTGCTGGTGATACTGCCGAATCAGCGCACGGATACCAAACTGCTTCCCTTCAAAGACCACCAAATTCCGGGATAGCCAAATCCTCCAAAGGATAGCAATAACTTCCATGACCTGCGAGGGTTGTTGCAAGATAGCCAGCAACTTTTTCAGGAAAAGAGGGAATGTATGTTGAGGCAAGCCCTCACCAAGATGATCCAGACCAGACTGAGTCCACAAAGCCCTGGCCACCGGGCAATCAAGGAAAAGGTGCTCCATCGTTTCCGATGGGGCCCAACACACAGGACACCGGGGAAGGACTTCAATTTTCCTATCGAAAATGCCTCAGTAGTCGGCAGAATTCTGCTCAAGAGTTGCCAAGCAAATATCTTCAATTTCGGAGGAATGTTGGCATCCCACAGTCGGATCCAACTAGCTTTGTCCATCCAACTAACCTGCGCCCGCCACCGCCCATTCAACTGATCTAGACGAACTGCCAAGTGATAGGCCGACTTAACAGAGAAGAGACCATCAACAGTAGCATGCCAAATCAGTCGATCCTCGACGTTTCACCGTGGAAGAGGCATGGCCAGAATAGCTTGGCATGTCGGAGGATCAAACCACTGCTTAAGCTTATCCTCGCACCACCGACCTTCCTCAGGGCAAATGACTGTAGAGACCTTTGTTTCCCCTCCCTCAGGTAGGATCCGCGGATTACACACCGGGGATAGAGGGTACAGCTGTGTAATCCTGTTTGAGTCAAGTAAGGGGGCCGTTTGCCCATTTCCAATCTGCCATCGTAACCCTGTAGACAACAACTGACGCCCATGCAGAATGCTTTGCCATCCCAAGGAAGGGCGGAAACGAGCCGTGGCTGAAAGGAAAGATCCCTGCGGGAAATACTTCCCCTTATAAACCTGCGCTAAGAGGGTTTGGGGTTCATTAAGGATTCACCATCCAATCTTAGCT